GAGTATCAGATCTTGGAAGCTAGACTCGCAGGTGCCGACACTGTGTTGCTCATCGTCAAGATGCTTGACGAGGTAGTGCTGAAGAAGCTCTATGACTACTCCAGATCACTTGGAATGGAGCCCCTAGTCGAGGTCCAAAACGCAGAAGAAACGGAGATCGCCGTCAAGCTGGGCGCGCAAGTCATCGGTGTAAACAATCGCAATCTTGTCAATTTCGAGGTCGACATGGAGACCACTAATCGACTAATCAACATGGTTCCAAAAGAGACAATTTTGTGTGCGCTCAGCGGTATCGCTGGACCCAAAGATGTCGAACCATACATCAAGAGCGGAGTCGGTGCAGTCTTGGTGGGTGAAGCGTTGATGCGCGCATCTGACACTGCTCAATTCATTGCTGAGCTCTTGGGTGGCTCATCTACAAAGAAGGCGCAAACAGCCTCAAGCCCGATGGTAAAGATCTGCGGAACTCGGAGTGCAGAGGCCGCAAAAGCTGCAGTCGAGGCAGGAGCTGATCTCATCGGCATGATACTGGCGCCAGGAACCAAGCGAACAGTAACAGCGGAGACAGCACTTGCCATCTCGGAAATGGTACATAAGACCAAAAAGCCGATTGTCTCGAAGTCGGGATTGCTTGCTGATTCAAAGGCTGCGTCTGACTTCTTTGAGCACGGTGCATCGCGGTTGGTATCAAACGACAGTCGTGCGCTTCTTGTAGGAGTTTTCCGAAACCAATCACTGGAATACGTGCTCGAGCAGCGGCGATTGCTCAGCCTAGACGTTGTACAATTTCATGGTCAAGAGCCACTAGAGTGGGCAAAGCTGGTTCCTGTACCTGTTCTGCGAGCTTTTAACCCGCAAAACCTTGGAATCGGCTCAAGAGGTTATCACGCTCTACCACTGCTGGATGCAGGCTCTGGAGGTTCAGGCCAGCAACTGGATCTCTCCGACGTCAAAGCAGTGTTTGCAAAAGACGATGGAATCAAGGTCATATTAGCAGGTGGGCTGAACCCTGACAACGTACAGTCTATGCTCGCTGGACTCGACGAGTACCGGGATCGCGTTCACGCTGTGGATGTCAGCAGCGGTGTTGAAGAAGACGGACAGCAAAGTCTAGACAAGATACGCGCCTTCATAAAGGCAGCCAAGAACCAGCAATAGGCATCAGAATGAATGTCTAGAATACTACTTCTAAAACGCGAGCTGGAATTCATCAAATACAACGCACTTTGTTCACAGCCGCATGGTATCTCCTTGAATGACTTACGTACTTCTTTAGGTCTTCTCTCCATCTAAGAATCCCATGTTATGGGGAAGATACGCTGCGTCCCTACAGACAGCGGTCTGCAAAGGCGCTGCGATCAGTGCCTCTTACCTCGCGAAGATAGCCGCATGGCCCGAGCAAACGCTATATCACCTGGCCTGCTGCGTGTCACCAAAAGGTAAGATCAGCCCGCCTCGGGCCAGTTCTTGAACCCCGATCCGGATATCACAAAACCTTGTTCTCGTTCGCGATCGAGTTTACATACTCCTACGTCTCACATCCGCGACGATACCAGAATGGGTATTCTAGACAAGCTAACTATTGCCCTTGTTGGCACACTCCCCCACGATGCTAAGCAGATGAGAAGCTGGATCGAACGAAACGGCGGCAAATACTCTGCTAAGATCACCAAGAGCGTCACCCACCTCATCGCCAGCAAAGAAGCATACAAGCAGCCCGCCGATGCTGTTCAACAAGCCACCGACTTAGGTATCCATGTAGTCAGCTATGACTGGTTTGACGACTCTCTCCAGGGGAAGAGGAAGCTGAGCGCTAAGAAATATACCTGGGCGGTGTTGACGAAAGAGAGGAGAAAGAAGAAAGAGCTCAAAAGGCTGGGTACCCTGGCAGATGGCAGTAGGTTCAGGAAAGGATGCGAGAAGATTAAGGAGTTAACTGGATCAGGTACGTCAAAGAAATCTGCTGTTGTTAAACCCAGGAAGAGCAAGAGTTTCTTTTTCTCTACCTCTACTTTGGTGGTCCCACCAACTCCTTTCGTATCTGCAAAAGAGGCTCTCTTGCGTAGGAGGGCAGAACGGGAGAGTGCTCCAATCGAAACTATCGATGACTTCACAAGCCTAGCCAACCGATCTCCGAGCTCTTCCGTTTCAAACCCCAAGCCTGTTTGTTCATCCCTCAAGAAAGTACCACAAGCTAAAATTTCTCATTGGAAAGAGGACTATCACTACTACCAAGACGTCACGGGCTTTGAGTACAAGATCGTCCTTGTACGTGGCGGCGAGTCTTCAATGGCGAACTACCACATTGGACTGTTGGAGAGTCACACAAAACCGCATGTGTACTGGACACTTGTGCAGTACAAGCCTGCTAAAGCTCCACCAGTGAACGACGACGGTTCACACCAACACGTCCAGCATCCTGAAGCCACCCGCCTCCTCTCTCTCGTCACCAAACCTACACCAGTCCCAGAACTCCCTTACAACGGCGAACTATGCCCACGGAACAGCGATTTCGCAACTGCCTCCCGTTCTTTCCGTCACGCGTTCCGTGACCTCACCCTCCTCTCTTGGGAAGAGCGTTTCGACACTAACAAGACCCTGCAAAAGGCGCGTGCCCAACACCTTAACATCGAACCGTTTTGGTACGGGAAACCTAAAATGGGAATGCCGATGGGAATGCTACCGCAAGCGATGGGTTTGTTGACTGGGGAAGTAAGTGGTTTAGAAGTCCGTGGCGATATTGATGATGGGTATATCCGTGGTGCTTCAAATCTGCCGTCCATCAGCGCTCCCCTAACCACGTATGGTATTATCGGTGGCTCTATTCACCATGACGCCGAAGAGTTGCGGAAACACGAGGTGGCTCGTATGCAAAAGATTAAGGACAGGGAGGAAGTCGAGAGGAGATCGAGGGGCCAACCTAGAGGAATGGGCGTCAACCATAACAGGCCTATGTTCAATGGAGCGATGGGTAGGCCGACGGTTGATGCATATGGTCAGCGTATCAATTATGGCAGCAATGGAGATTATACGAAGTACACGGTACCGATGCCGGTAAGTGGTGGAGGGAGTAATAGGGGATTTGTGGCACCGGAGTTTGCGCATTTGTTAGGTGGTGGAAGGAGGAGGGGGTATACCCCGTTTCCAAGTGAGAGAGACGGTTGAATTGGGTGATGGACGACAGGAGGTGATGCCTAGATTGGTGGATAGGTTTTGCTTTTTCTGTGCGTCTAGCATCCTGCGATTTCTTACACTGGCTATGGTGGTTGAGAGGATTCTGGAAAGACATCGGGGTCAGGGGCGTTGGCAGTGATCGGCCATGTTTGGCCTTCAAGATCCAGTATAACATTTAGCGTGAGTCACAGTTCTGATATGAGTGCCTTCTGATTGATGGGACCCCATTGCGCATGTTGGTGACTTGCATCATGGTACTGAGATGACTTGACGGCAGAAAGAGGACTAGACTGATCGCGAGGTTTGTGTAGCCCTTGTCCTCAATTCTGATTTTGCTAACTTCGTAGGCGAGTAGCTGTGTTAAACAGATGGTGCAGAACGACTCAAAGCCTGGATGAAAGGGCAAGCAAACGGCGAACTACCCTGAAGTATCATCTACTACAGAGGTACTGCAAAGCATACCCATTATTTCATCCTTGAAGATGGTATCCCAGGAGGTCTTACGCTCAAAAAATTCTTAAGCTGACTCACAGAATCTGGTATTCGTATGTCCGCGCTCTCTGCACTGTGTCCTACGCCTCGTCAAGCTACTACGCTGACAGATTGTGCGACCGGAGTCGGATACGTATCGGGGACTATGCCATCAAGAATGACCAGCGGCTCGAAGATGAACTGCAACAGAAAGAGAAGGAGCTTCGTACCGAGAAGGTGCGTAATGTACTGATCGAATCAACCCCAGAGATTGGGAAGAAGGACTGGAACAGCAAGAAGGAGCTGGCGGTGTTGGTATTCAAGAAGATAAAGACAAGATTCTACAAGTTCGAAGGATAGTATCGGATGGATACTTGGGATGCGAATCTGGACGATGCTATGTTTCGTATGTAAGCAGTGGACAAGGTAGGTGTTGCATAGATGGCTTTGTCCACTGTCAGAGGGGAGAACTAACAGATTCACTCTGTCGCTACAGGGAGAGACTGTTGATTATTCGTTGTATATATTTTCCTTTTCTTATTGTACATGGTTACTTGACGCGCACAATGAGAAGTGGATTGCTGCCATTGACGCTTGTCGAAAAGGGTTGTTGTTGCGAACGGATGCATTGTAACGCAGGCGCAGCGCTGACACTGCAGTATGCTGGTAGGCGCAGTCATTTCGCACTTGGTCATAGGCATTGAGTATCCGTTGAGCGCGGGAGTTCATAAGCGGCATCTGACATTACCTCATTCGGCGTATTGCCTTGGGCGACAAGACCGAGAGCTAGATACGCTGAAGCCTCGTACATACCTAGGTATGCTCCATGGACTTGGGCGCGAACAAGACACAAATATTGGAAGCACGAAAGCATACAATGAGGAAGCTCAAAACTCGGCTGCCTTGCTCTGCAGCACGATGGCGATGGAGACGATGATGCTGCGCCTCGCGGGAGAGCACGCTAGAGCCACGCGATCATGGCCGGCGATGACTAAGGGCGTGTCTTGCCCGCTCTTGTCCCATTGGTGACGTTGGTCTTCGCGGCTCAGAGCTGGGCTGATTCAACAGGGTCTCATCTTAATTTCCCTCGCAACCCACATCAAAACAAGGTTGCGGCACGCTGCAATTAATCGATTTTGGAGCATTGCCTTACCCCAAGCACAGGCATCCGCTGTTCATTCCATCGTCGCTAGCCTTGTTGTGCGGAAGAATTGCTGGAGTACTCGCCGCGCTCACGCCCGTCAGTCAGCGCAGGATTCCGTAGCTTCCGCGGCTGTTCTCCAAGCTCCAGCTCCACTGCGGCATTCCGAAACCATCGCCCCAACGCTGTCAATCCATCCCAGCATACACCAAACATGTCGCACAACTACGATCAGTACGGCGGCAACCCGTATGGCCAGGCCGAGGCTGGGTACGGCGGTCAATCAAACCCATATGGGGGCACCGGCTACGGCTCATCCAACCCCTATGGCGGAGGAGTAAGCAGTCGCTCCTGCGCGGCCTGAATTGACAAGACTGACGCGACCAAGCAGTATGACGAGCCGCAACAACAGCTCAACCCTCCCGCGCCGCTCCAACGCCATGGCGAGTCCAACTACTCGCAGCCGTCGCAATATTCGCAAACCGGTGCGCTGAGCCAGCCCAACACGCAGCAGCAGAATGTCCCTCACACCGACGTGCCAATGAACAATGGCGGTGTCTACGGCGCAAACCCCGGCATGGAGGCGCCAGGCCCACAGCCTCTCAATCGCGACGACTTCTTCGCGCGCATCGAAGGCGCAAAGGGTCGCATCGGCCAGCTCACCTCGGACATCCAAGCCATCGCGAGCGTCCACCAGCGCATGCTGTCATCGCCCGACAACCGCTCCACCGCCGAACTCGAGAGCATCGTAACCACCACTCAGATCAGGAACACGCAAATCAAGGACGAGATCAAGTTTCTGGAAAGAGATGCCGTCCGCGACCCCAACGACAAGATGAAGAGGACGCAGGTCGAGGCGCTGAAGAAGCAGTTCAAGACGCAGCTCGAGGACTTCCAGAAAGAGGAGGCAGAGTACTCTAGGAGGTATCGCGAGGCTGTCGGGCGCCAGTACCGCATCATCAACCCGGATGCGACGGATGCCGAGGTCAACGAGATCGCAAACTCGGACCTGGGCGACGAGGGTATCTTCACACAAGCTGTAAGTTGGCAAAAGTCACGCGTGGCTCTAGGATATGACTAACAGCCCAACAGCTCAAATCCAACCGCAGCGGCCAAGCCTCAAGTGTTCTTGGCGCCGTCCGCGCCCGTCACAACGACATCCAGCGTATCGAGAAGACCATGGGCGAGCTTGCCCTGCTCTTCACCCAGCTCAACGAGCAGGTCGTCTACCAAGAGCCCATCATCCAACGGACCGAGGAGCAAACTGTGCAGGTCAAGGACGACACCGAGAACGCGAACAAACAGTTGGACGAGGGAATCAAGTCCGCTAGGCGCGCGAGAAGGCTCAAGTGGTGGATCCTCTTGACAGTCGTCCTGATTCTGTGCGTTATTGCGCTGGTACTTGGATTGTACTTTGGATTAAAGAACAAATAGAGCACCTTGGGAGCGAGAGCATTGTAATGACCTAAGAGGAGGGACGGGACGTGATATCATTGGGACTATCGTTCTGTATCTGTATGGGGATTTGTATGGGGAAGTGGATGAACTTCTTTTTCTTTATTATTAGTAATGATCCGGAGCTGTACTCCGCAGCAACGCCGCATGTGTATAAACGGGAGTCGGCAAGGGAATAGGTATTAGCGCTAATGGTATGATGGCGAAAAGCTCGTAAAACAAAGACCGCGTTCCCAACATGTTGAGGCTGAACCACTAATGATCTTCTAGATCCCGCTGGCGCAAGCATTGTCAATAACCCAGACCGGGCGCACGTATTTTCGATAAAGATGATGGCAGTGCAGTCAAAGGTCCGACTGCTTGAGGGTGGTGTTTTCATGTTCATGCTCAATCCGTTCTCATGTGCGATGGCTGGACATCGTGTTGAGGAGGTTGACCGATGCTCTAATAATAAGATGGCGAACTAGCCGATTGCGAAAAACCCGCATTTCCAGCGCCAGCATCTCAAATACGGCAGATGATGATGATTCGTCGGGCTACGATTAAAAAATCGAGCAGACCTAGCGTCGTGGTGTCAAGACGGTGCAAAGGTCCGGACCGACTGCCTCGTTTCACAACAAAACTGCAGGCAGATATCGCCGTTTCGGAAGCAACCAGCGATGGGCCAGCCAGCCATGCTGCAGCAGTTACACGATGCACCCACATGTCGTCATTAATCCAATCTTAGCCGTGGGCCGTCATTTCGGCAGCAAGACTGCGCAGCATGGGGCAAAGACATGCGTTGAACCCGTTTGATACAGATCGCCAGTGTCTGCGCGACAGACTCAGTGGATGATTGACGGCAGACGCGTGTTTCAGCGTCCTTCACTGCAGTCCATCCAAGCATGATCGCCACGGCGAGCCATTCTTCTTAGCTAGGCTTGAGGTGGGCCGGTGGGCGTTGGCGGCTCCTTGGAGGTGGGCTTGGTGCGGCTTGTTCAGGGGTTGGCGCTGCTTGCCTCCAGCCGGGCGATGCAGGAGCGATCCCCACCGGGGAAAGAACGAATCAGAAAGGGAAGGCGCCTTCCACTAGGAAATTGGACGCGTCGCCTCCCTCTTCAAACAGTGCTTAACCTGCTTGTTTTCCCTGGAATCTTGGTTAGACCTTTCTTCTTCATCTCACGAACCAAGTGCTTCTTGCCTTGCCTACCTTTTTCTAATCGCAACTTCTTACACTCGTTTCACGGGAGTTGCATTCTTCAAAGACTGTATTTGTTTACTTGACGATCCGACAATCGCTTTATAACACTCGCTCACACCAATTGTCCATACGCCCGCCCACCGTAATATCATCAACTCACACACGACCATCATGAAGACCTTTGCCATCGCCGCCGTTCTCGCGGCTTCCGCTGCGGCCACCCCTACTGCCGCTGTCCAGAAGCGCGCCATCACCCCCGTCACTGTGAAGGGAAATGGTATGTCACGCCACCTATTACCATGACGATCGCCTACTGACACCGCTCAGCTTTCTTTGCTGGCAACGAGCGTTTCTACATCCGTGGTGTTGACTACCAGCCCGGTGGCGCTTCCGATGCGAAGGACCCCATCGCTGACGAGGCTGGCTGCAAGCGCGACATTGAGAAGTTTAAGGAGCTCGGTATCAACACCGTCCGCATCTACACTGTCGACAACAGCGCCAACCACGACACCTGCATGGGTCTCCTCGCTGATGCCGGAATCTACCTCGCTCTCGACCTCAACACCCCCAAGTACTCCATCAACCGCGCCGAGCCCCAGAAGTCGTACAACAAGGTCTACTTGCAGAGCATCTTCGCTACCGTCGAGATGTTCGCAAAGTACGACAACACTCTGCTGTTCTTCTCCGCCAACGAGGTCATCAACGACGACAAGACCACCAACTGTGCTCCTTACGTCAAGGCTGTCACCCGTGACATCAAGTCCTACATGAACGCTCGCGGTCTCCGCAAGGTTCCTGTCGGTTACTCTGCCGCTGATGTCGAGAGCAACCGCTACGAGATGGCCGACTACATGAACTGTGGTGACGATGCCGCTCGCAGCGACTTCTTCGGTTTCAACGACTACTCTTGGTGCGACCCGTCTTCCTACACCACCTCTGGTTGGGACCAGAAGGTTCAGAAGTTCGGCAACTACAGCATCCCTATCTTCCTCTCCGAATACGGTTGCAACAAGGGAACCCGAAAGTTCGAAGAGGTCAAGTCTCTCTACAGCACCGACATGACCGGCGTCTACTCTGGAGGTCTCGTCTACGAATACTCCCAGGAAGACTCCAACTACGGACTCGTTGAGATCAACGGCGACTCCGTCACTGAGCGCGACGACTTCAAGGCCCTCAAGGAGGCTTTCTCTTCCACCAAGAACCCCACTGGCGACGGTGGCTACAAGTCCAGCGGCCAGCCTGCCACTTGCCCTGACCAGTCCAAGACCTGGGATGTCACCATGAAGAGCGACGAGCTCCCTGCTGTTCCCTCTGGCGCCACCGAACTTTTCAAGAAGGGTGCTGGTGACGGCCCTGGTCTCTCCGGCTCTGGCTCCCAGCAGGCTGGTTCTTCCGAGACCAACCTCGCTGGTGCTGGTGACGGTGCTGTCACTTCCGGTGGTGTCGTTCCCAGCTCCACCGGTGGCGCCAGCGCTTCCGGCTCTGCTGGTGCCGCTGCCTCCGTCCGCCCCGAGTTCAGCTTCGCTCCTCTCGTCTGCGGTGCCGTTGTCCTCGCCTCCTCGCTCTTCGGTGGTGCTCTTATCTTGTAAGAGTGTTTTGCTACGATAGAGCTTCGAGTGTTTCTTTCCGCTTTAACATGTATACCCTCTTTTGGGGTTTTGGTCGGATCGAGCAATGCAACGACCCAGCGCGGGCAACGTTATTGTGGTAGATTTGGCTTCTGTTTAACCCAAGTCGCCTAGTGTGGTTTCGGGACCGACTTTTGATTGGAGTTGGTTGGACTTTTGTTCGACTTGGCGTCCTGCTTTTTTTGTTGTTCACTTTGTTTGAGTATCTCAGTATATATCAAGAAATACAAACACACTGAAAAATAACAAGTGTTGACTTCACATGGTGATGGTGTGGTGTGGCCCGGCTTTGGGGGAGATGTTGGTACTACCACCTGCTGGTTCTACATGTAAAGCTGCTCTTGCCGCCACTCCTCTACCTTCCTATCGACGAGCCCATCATTCTTCCAGAAACACAAATGAGGCATCTAATACTACTTCTCTCTCCAAGCAATCTACTTAAGCTAATATATACGTACGTCTTTCATTCTCTAATCGATAATGGAAACAAGTCGTGATTTTGTCATCTTCAAGTTGGAAAATCAAAAGTACGCGACTATTAGCACGGACTACCCATCATTGCGACCATCAAGATCAGAACATCACAATGACATGGTGGTTGTGCCTGCACTACATTGCTACATTTTCTTCTCGAGACAATAGAGGCCATGTATGCATAGTTCCTTCTCTTGCTCTAAATGCAGCTCTTATGCCTTCCATGAGCCAATGTAAGTCGCGAACAATGGTTCTCAAGGGCTATGGCTTATGCCTGTCGGACTTCGTGAACTAGCTGGTACTTTTCCAGTATTGTTTACGACTTTGGGAGGGTTAAAGTAAAAAAGCTTCCTTTCCAATATCAGTCTTGCTGTCTTTGTTATCACTACCACTCGATGTGTTTTCATCAAAACGCCAGACACACCATGGCATGTATGTGTGTGTGTGTGTGTGTGTCTTTCTACTCCAAAAGGACAACGAAATGCTTTTCATGAGCGTGTTTGTTTTCAAAATACGCCAATCTAAACCTATGTGCAATGGAGTAAGTCGAATTGGCCTTGCTCGATTAGAAGCAATGTAAACATTTTTCTACATTATCCCGTGTATCCATTACTCAGCACCTGCATTCCAACAGCTAACAAATCTCCTCTGACCCGGTTCATGTGCGGTTTGTCGTGTTGATCCAATTTCCAAAACCGGATAAAGCACCAGTATGATTCGGGAGTAAGTTTGCGAAGTCCAGATGCCTTGTTCCAAGATTCAATCTACTAGGATAGTATTGAATGCAGTTCCATCGCCCTGTGGACAGGAAAGAATGATGAAGAGCAATATACGCGTGCGCGGCACGACTTCAAGTACATACTCGAGTGCACGACTGAGTACAAAGTCTCTCTCCTCGGCTGCTCCTCGTTTTCCTCTCTATCGCACGCTCTCCTCTTATTCCCAAAACCCGAAACTTTGATAAGTGTGTGTGCCTGGCTTCAAAAAGCTCCTTGGATACTTTCATGAGCAGCGAGATGCTGTTTCGATAAAACTTGGAGTATCCTCATACACGTTCTTTCCTCACCTCGGAGCTGCATAAAAAGGCTTCTGTTAGCTTTCTCATGAAACTAAAAATGAGAGCTTCATATTTATATAAGCATCTGAGACCTCTCCGCGTTAGTTGTATGAATACTGCCTCTCTCCTGATCCCTTTCTGCTTTCACTTCCCACTATACTCTGAACAGGGATTTTACCGAAAATGGGAGAAGAACAGACAATGGCCTTCCTCTTCTCTTTGTCAAAACAACAGCGCAGAATTGGTATGGTCGTCCTTGCTTTGACGAACAAAATATGTACGCCACTTTTGAATGTCGTGTTTCTCCTATGCTGCCATATCAAAGGCGCTCAGCTCGTTATTATACTGCGAACACCTCAGTCGTGACCTCTACATGACATTGTGGGTGATGTACAATCAGTGAAACACGAGATTACTCAACCTGCTTAGTGCATAGGACTCAGGCTTCTAGTTGTCAGCCTTTGCGCTGGCAAGAGACGTGTACATTGTGGCCAGAAAGATATATTAGTTCGATATGACTCGTACAATATCGCGTGGTTGCTGTTGGAATCTTTGAATTTTAGAGACAGATGGAAGGCAGACAAGCTGAGACTTAAAACATTGGGTTCCAGACTTCAAGACGCAGTCACTTGTGCAACGTGTGACATGTGATGTGTCTTTACCTGCGTACCCACACATGACACTTTCGATTTGAGATTTGGAGGCTACTATTAATTGACGAATATTGTAATACACCATTAGAACCGCAATTTCGTATACACATTCGTCACCAGACCGTGTCATCCCATCATTCATAGTGACCCATCACCGCCCCCTCTCTCAAATACGCAAACAGCTAACAAACAAAAACAGTTTAACAGAAAAGAACACATAGACAAGGGGGTATCTCAAGGCTCAGACGATATGCAACAAGAACGTTATAACGCGATCGCTCCCACCGACCGTAACGCCTTGTGTCAGTCATGGTCGTCTTCTCACGAGCCGGTGAAGAGATGCCAGACAACTGTAAAAACAGACAGAAAGACAAACCACATAACGCCTCAAATGCCGCATTGCAAATCAAACAAGGAGAATGAGGTTCGTTGTGAGAGCCATTTGGCATGTTGAGTGCCATCAATCCCACCTGTTTCAAGGTGGCGGCGACCAACGAAGATGGAAGGGAGCTCAGACCTCCATCCTTTCCATGGCACACTCGCTCATCGACCGTATCTTGCTCACGGCCCTCTCTCGGTCGACCAGTGACTCAACATCGCTGTCGTCCTCACTCTCGTAGTATTCGGCATCCATGCTCATCTCTCTGGCCGGCAGGTACCGTTGTTGTTCAGCGTCGACAACATCACCGGGGTGATCAATGACCATGTTGTCGAGCTCGTCACTGTCTCCGTATGCCTCGAGTCCTTTTCTAGCACGGTCACCGAGCCAGTATTCGGCACGCTTCCTGCTTCCTGCGTTGGCGCTGGATTCGTATTTCGATGCTTTGAACTTGGACATGAGCGACATGGCGACACTAGGCGAGTTCGACAGAGCGGATACTCCGCGGAGGTAGAAGTATGCGACTCGCTTACGCTCCTTGTTGTATAGGAAAAAGTGGTGACTCCAAATGGCGCCGTCATCAGCAAATGGGTCATCTGAAGGCTCCCAAGCATAGTATTCGCAGTTTGACATGTCCATCTCGCTATCAAGTAGGTGCCAACTCCGTGGACTCCAGATCGGGGAGCCAAGCGGTGTGACTGCGCCTGCTGGTAGTCCTGCAGAGTAGACTTGGGGGCGGAGGTAGTACATTGTTGTGTCGATCTTGTGCATGAAGCTGTGTATGGTCTCGCGACGGAACTCGTCCGGGTTCAGTGTGTTGGCGAAATCGTAATCGATGTGAGTTGCGTTGAGCGTCGCGATCAGGTAGGCAAATGTATGACGGTTTGCGGCTTCGCTGAAGGTTCCGAATGGTGTGTCTCGAGAGACATCGAGTTGGTCTGCAAACTGAGCGGCAGATTGCTCGGAGAGCCCTGCCACCGCCGACAGCAAGTCCTTGTGTCGCTCCTCGAGCGTCCGCTCGATGCGCTTGTATAGTTTCTTGTCGCTACCGGCTGCTTTTATCGTCCACAGATCGCATCCGCCGATGATGGCGGTATCTTGCGTGTCGAAGTTGAGAGCGAGGTTGACCTCGTGGAGGGCGCACAAATCGAGGTACTGAGGTCCCACCGGGTTAGCTGCGTCATAGCCTCCAGCCTTATCGCATCGTGTACGTACCTTCATTGTGCTTTGCTGTAGGCTCCTATTGCCTGAATATTTCTTATGGAATATGTCGCGTATGATCCAGGATCTTTGAGATAAGAGAGTACTTCAGTGGGCCGTAGCTGCTGGTGGAGGTGATGTGTTGGTCGGGAGGGGGTAGCCTGCGCGAACCGATACAACCAGTAGACACGACTCTAGGCTGGCTGCAGAGAGGAGAGGGTACTGTTGTTCGGCCAGACAGTCGTCTAGCAGGCAGTGGACATATGTATGGCTTGGGTGTAGATGTGGTGTGAGATGTCGGTGTCGCTCTTACGACGTGGTCGCGATTGCGGAGAAGGTCAGCTTGGCGGTGTCGCCGAGCTAACAGCGGCATGTGTGTCGGGTCTTCCTTCCTGATTGGTCGATGCAACACCAAGCCCTCAACCAACAACAGCTGCCGATAAGGCCGGATGGGTAGTTGGCGAGAGACTACTGGTGTTGAGCGATGATGTTAGTTGTGTTTGGTACCGAATATGTCTGAGCATGTCATCTGATGTTGTTCGAGCACGTGAAGGAGGACAGGAAGCTGCCTGGCAATGAACCCAGATGGATTCGGCAGCGTTTCATTTGATGCATGCATGTCAAGGTTCTGAATGAAGGACCAAACAGTGATCCGAACCAATTGCTGTCACGATGTGCAGTGCCTAGGTGGTGTGGAGACCTGTAGCTAGATGGATAAAGTAAGTAAACCAGCATAAAGAAAAAAAGAAAGCAACAAGAGAGAATGATCAAGTCTATCAAGGGTGAAGTCTCGATATCATGATGTGTAATCACGTTCGAGCCCATGAGCCACTTGTGTCAAACCTAGCTGTGTCGAGCAAGCCCGCCAGTCCGAGGTGTTTGCATTGTAGTAGATAGAGTACAGCTACCGCCATCCGCTCTACAAGGCAGGATGGCAGGTAGTGCGTTCTCCAGATGATCCGACGCCCTGCGCCGTGTGATATCGTGTTGCTCCGACGCCTGCCCTTGAGAAGGTATTTAGCAATGAAGCGGATGAACCGTGTCGCAACGCACGACTGTGTGCCGTGCTGCCTACTCCCATACTCCAATAACGCCGTACAGCATGTGTTCGTATGCGCAAACCGGGTCCGGTCTCATAGGATGCCGCTCTCTTTAAGTCGGCCTTTGAAGTCATCCGCATCCTGGAAAGCCATCAGGCGCGGTCAGTGAGGGCTCTTGGGACGGTCGGTGACAGAGGACCAAAAGACGAGTTGTGTAATGGTGCGTTCCGTACACGCTTTACATAATCTTGGTAACGATATCGTCCTCAGCCTGACGACACGGCGCGTCAGCCAGCTGGTGCTATGGGTGTGCGGCGAAGCGGACCCGAAAGTCATCACACTTCACTCACCTCCATATCTTCGAGGCTGTCTTGCTGTCCAATGCACCGTAACACGTTCTTCTTGCTGCTCTCTTGCATCTCCCCCGCAAGCAGCAGCTCGTCGAGGATGAAGTATGCCTTTTGGAAATTGAAGATGATGTCGAGCTCGCAGACGTTGCCGTAGTACTTGTCCATCTGCTCGACGTAGCGGTGGACGATTTCGAGCGTGATCAGCTCATTGTCGGTCGAGTCGCAGCCGGCGATGAAGAAGAGCGAGGCATATCGGCGATAGACGATCTTGGTGTCTAGCAGAATGTGTGAGCTAGCGAAACTATCACCCCTGCGGGACCCACTGACCTTTGTACTCTAAGAAGTTGCACATGCGCGTGCGGCGGGCGAGGACGAGCTGCGAGACGTCTTTGACAATCTTGGCCTTGTCCTTGGGGGCGAGTGTGGTGAACCACTTGGCTAGGCGCTACGAGCTTCAGCAGAGGGACTTGTGATTCTAGGGTGAGGGACCAACCACTTTGCCCTGCCGGGACAGCAGAATGAGGTATCTACAACTGTCAGTCACTACAGTCCATGGCATGCAATAGCACAGCAGAGCTCTTACTTGATTGTCATGGTGTCGTGTGAGGAGAAGATGCCAGTAGCGTCGTGTCTGGTGCACTTGCTTGGGGAAAGATGTTAGCTTCGGCGATCGGCGGTCACAGGCCAGCCCCGCGACTTTGAGACGTCAATGCGCCTCGTCCATTGCCATATCCCCGCTATCGCCATCCAAATTTGTACATATACCCAATAGGCTTCATGCGCATGCGCTTCTGATTCTCGCCTTCTGCTTTGTTCCCATCTGCCATTCAGCCTTTCCGCGCTACTGCAAATCCGACGCGACTGCTTTCCTAAGACGGCCCACCCGCTGACAAACGTTCACCGTCCCCGTCTCACGACTCGAATAACCCCGAAGAGTCACCAGAATATACACACACACACACACACATTAAGCTTTCGTCGTCAGAGGCCTTCTATCTTGCGTCATTGCTCAGCCTCTTGAGCTGGCCAACCACAATCATGAAGCTCATACTCTCTACCTCGTATGTCTTGCTCAGACCATCCAAGACGGTACCTAACAAGACAGGAATACCATGTCCGGTGGTCCTTCCGTAATAAGACGACCCTTCTTCGAGAAATCAAACACCGAACTCACTTCCTCCCTCCGCGCAAACTTCGCCGCCCACCAACCCTCTCCAACGCCCTCAAAAACAAATTACGCAACGTGGACCACCAAGACCGACTCAGCCTTATATGTACCTACGCATACACCATCACCTCTTGCTGAACCCCGAGAATCATACGACATCACGGTCAAACTATTCTACCTCCCCAACATACCCACAGACCGGCGCTGCGCACAAACACGGGAAGCGATAGAGCTCGTGCTGAAGGAATTGGGTACATCATCTATAGATCTCCTGATCGTAAGCTTCCCAGGAATAACATTCGACGCCGACGATGAAGATTCCGATCTCGACGATGACGATCCGCCTTCGCCCCCATCTGCAACACAATCCACCTCTGAGAACACTGCGGGCGACTGTCCCGAGGCCGGGGCACCACCAGAAGACGTAGAAACCATGGTAACAACATGGCGCTCGCTCGAGAAACTCCACGCAGAAGGTCTCGTATCAAAACTTGGAATTGCGGAATTCGGCGTCGCGCGCCTGACCAAGTTCCTCGAACAAACAAAGATAAAACCAAGTGTGAATCAGATCAATGTCAGGGACTGCTGTGTTGTACCCAAACCTTTGATACTATACGCTAAGCAACAGCAAATCGAGCTGCTGACACATAATGACTGCACCAACATCCTACCGCGCGGGACACTACGACAAATACTTGGATCAGGTGAAGAAGGTTCGGGTGTGCTGGCAGGAAATGGAAACGATGAGGGTCTCAGGGGCGATGTTGAGCCGCAGTGGGTAGTCAAATACACCGCCGTTGTCAAAGATAGGGGTGTTGTGGAAAGCAAAGGCTATTTCGCTGTAGCAGAGTTGAGGGACTCATGAAGATGCTTTCTCACGGCAAGATTACAATCACACGAATCGACTACACGACTTGCATCTCTCCAGTTACCAAGTTTCATGTGTACACATGTTGGGATCTGTCCACTATCTCCTTACATGTTCTTGTGTGTGGCATTATATGCCGAATAGACGCCCAAGATGCCGCACCCCTTACACTTCAAGGATGCCCCGCCCGCCCCAAGATTCGCTCCTAGTAACGGATTGCCGCACTTCTTACATGTCGGCTCAAGGATGCCAATGTCATCGATTTTCACACATTTTGATGGCGAGTGATCTGCTCCGGTCTTGCCCTCCTTATCTGTGGATTTGATCGAGTCAGACATAGTGGTTCGTTTAGTGTTGGTATCAGGATCCTTGGAATTTTCAGGTGTTTGGAAAGAAGTTGAATGATCTCGCTGGTAGGTATGTGTTGTCGGTAACAAGTCGTTGGGAGCTATGCGGTATATATACATCAAGTCTATTCACTGTGTGATCTACTGATCATTTACTGTATACCTATGATTTCGCTGCCGCAGCGCGGTATCTTCTGAGACAACAAACTCAGTCTGTCACCACGAGTGTCTTGCTCATCATGGCCTCTAGCTAGGGATGCGTTATGTCACATTAAAGTCTCAGTTTGACAAGCTGAGTTGCTACGTATGTGGTTAACTGATACAACGTCGATGATAGCTGTGAAGACATAGTTACTTCTTGCATGCCAGCGTTCACAATGCGATTCGATCACAAATTCCAGCTACGTAGCCCTCTCTATGTATCGCTATCTTGACACTCGGGTTGATAGTTCTCCACATCATTCCCACACTCATACGCGCCAGCTCACTCTTCCAATGGTAACAGAACCCAAAACCGCAAATAAACAGTGCGCCAAAAGTAGACCAAAGGGACCATCTAAAACAGAACGATGTTCAGAATCAGAGACAGAACTCCTCATTCCTTACGTCTCCGGTGATGACGACTCCGATACCGAGGACGAAGATGCATCTTTCGGTCACTGCTGGAACTGTGACGCTCCTCTCCCACCGCCTACCCCGTCCAAGCTCACTGTTGAATGTATCGACTGCCAATTTCCTAACTAAGAATGTACTTAAACGGATGATAGGGATTCCTAAGCAGCTTAGATACAAGGCGATGCTACGGGCAGGGTGAGGCGTGTATATGGCCTAGATGAGGTTTTGGGGTATACCCAGATATCAGTATTCGGCTCTTCTTTGCTACCTTATGCTATGCAGTCATTTCGCGTTCAACATCCGCCGCTTCACGAGAAAGACATATCCGTTATCTTTTAGACTTATTTGATTACTCAAGTGAAAATCCAATCAGGGAAATTAGTGGCAACATACACACCCAATGCACGATTGGTCAATCTCCAAACAGCGCAACCATATATTCACTGCTCCGCTCTGATTGTCTCAGACCTGCTTGACCCCAAAACAATGTAAAAGCCTTGATTAATACCCCGCTGAGCCAGTAGTATACGAGAAACCTAACTCGCAGGTCTTTATAACACATCTTGGGCAAATGCTTACAACACCCAACTACTTCAGCTCCGATAATACCAATACCAGCACCATGTCCAACCAGTATCAATCGGACGCCCCTGAAGCATTCTTCTCACCTCTAGACTTCGGCGCAGAAACTTCAGACAAACCTGCCGTTATCATCTCTACATTCATTTCTACCTCCAATTGTCCAGCAGCTTCACCACAACTACCAACCGCATCGCACGGCGACGCATCAACACCGTCTTCCTCTATCTCTGCCTACATGCAAACTGACAAGGGAATTCACTATAAGGACGAAGGAGAAAAGGACAAGAATGGTAGTGTGATCACCGCTACGAAAGAACCATGTGTAGAATGTAGCGGCAAGGTAGTTTGGGCAACAAAGGGGCAGTGGTTGATGGTATGTCAGTTGTGCGGCGAACCGCAGTAGGGTTAAATTTTGGATGTAGAGAAGTGGATTGTGAACGGGGAGTCAAGGATAGCTAAGAAAGAATGGAAAAGGAATGAGCGAAGAACATCCTTAAGGAAATGACTGGAGAAATGCATGAAATATGCACTCCTATGGCCACATAAGGCTCACACAGAGGGTGAGTATGTATTGAACATGTATCTTTTCCTTTATCGGTTTCAAGTTCCTCAGACTTAGAGGACAATGAATGACGGAGTATCCCGAAATTTCAAGGACCCACGAGCCAAGCTCTGTAGAAGTTGTATGACTGGTAGATTACATCCTGTAATGTTAGTGACGCATTGATCTACAAGACTGTAGCTTTTCACACTGTAGTTCTGTCAAGCGTTCATCGGTGTAGCAAGTTTCGATGAAAACAATCAGCAACACCATATTAAAAGTTCCCATTGGATTCTACACATTTCAGTCTTATCATCGGTACAGAGCCAAGCTAACAAGACAGCAGTGACGCGTGTACGACCAGCCAATAAGTCGTCACAACAGACTATCGCAACCTAGGGAATCCCTTGGTCTTCCCCGTCCCAGTTAGACGGCAGTGGGGAACATGATGTGTCGACTAGACGCGCGGACCTAGCGGGAGCAAGCGCTTGGGAAGGAAGGCCGTTCACCCAAGCGACATCCAAGTGAGGAAATCCCTTTTCCTAATCCAACAGGTGCTGAGGTCCAGAAAGAGCAGTTGCTGCGGTCGATTAATCCCTCCGATCAAGCATGCAGGTGACAGGAGATGATATGTCCCTCAACACTTTACGGCTTTCGGTCTGATAGACTTGGTGTTCTCCTCGCTTGGTAGTGAGTGCCAGTGGTGTATCGGATTAGCATGCATCCGTCCAAGCGATCTCATGGTGGATGGCAATAAGGCGCCATGTTATCAAATGCGCCATTTGATTCTTAATCTGACACCATACGGCAGTACGCCCTAGGGCAATCGCTTGTTTGGTGAATGCGTATCGAGATGCTTTAGTGCCTCCAAGGTTGACAGTTGGGCGTTGAAACTGCGGAGCATCTTATCACATGCAGATACTCATCCCATCTGAGGTCAGCGACGAACTCAAAGTTGGTGGCGCAACGCCCGGGCCCAAGAACAAGTCCCGTGGACTTCTAATCCTCACCGATCAGGAAGTATAGCCACGAGTTCGCCTTATCGATAGAGACTAGGTTTGCCGTGCCGCATGTTTACTTCTCTGGACTGATGGAAAAGGACAAGCGAATTCAATCCCAGCGCTACAGCAACAAGAAGGCAGTCCAGTTATGTTTAGGTGCAGTACACCCACCAGGCAATATCGCCGCGATGAAACCGAAGGTATCAAGGCATGTTCATAGATGGTCTGGAGGTTGTTGTCAAATAGAATTGTTGCATCAAGCTTAAGATGCATCTTGCTTTTCCCGCAGATCTGTGCTGACGCTGGTTTCTCACATACAAACATACAAACATCTCACTTCTAGTAAATAGTTGTTACAACCGAACCTCAATCACTGTGACCTGCTTCGGTATCTGGGCGGGAGCGCTTGAAAAGATAGGCAGTTCCTTAGTGTCCAGGCAATAGTTGATGACCCTATTGGCGATCGGTCCCATCCGAGTGCAGTTGACGCCAGGGGCCAGAGGGTCCAATGAAGGCTCCGATCGACCCTCCCTGAAAGAAAAAAGGATCGTGGTTTGCATGCACTAAAGTGAGCTGCAGTATCGACAATGTCAATGTATTGTTACAGAACGGCTTTCAAAGGCAGCCTCTCAGTTTAGTCGAGTAGACTGCTCTTACGTCTGATGTGCATGAAGATAATTTTCGGCGTACACGTTGCAGATGGGATCAGCATGCGTTCTTGCAGCTCGTCAGCCTGCAGAAAAGCTGTAGAAAGCACGATTAACTTCTGACAGAAGCAGTACGAAACGTGGTGCTGACTGATCGCGCGAATCCTGGTAGCGATGCTGTGCCCTTGCATAAATTTGGGTGACGATGTTCACGTTCGCATCAAGTTCAACGACCAGCTTATCGTAGACCTGCCCCTAAAGAGGTGCGCAATGTGAGTCGCTCATCAGTGCTTAGCATGTTCCTCCGCTCCAGACCATGAAGAGACACAGACTTGACCAATGATGTCTCTTGGCGACGACGGATCAAGAGGCGACGGACACCCCGTTGCCGGGGTTGTTCAGGCGAATGTTATCACGGAATGGCGCTGGGCCCGGCAGTGCTTATCCAGGCGTGACAGCTCTCGACTTCAACTCGTTGTGGTATCCATTAGCGAAAGAGGGGCACTCGAGGGTTTCGCTAGCAGCTGAAGTTGAGAGATCAGCTGGTGCGAGATCTGGCCACGAGTCTTGGTAGGCGAGTAAAGATTAAAGAAACAGCGCGCATGCTGACATCGTCTAGACCTTTTGGTAGCGATCGTTGAGATCAGCTCGCCGTTCCATAGGTAGTGGTCTGAAGACATTGAGCCGTGCTTTTCTCTGCATCTGGAACTGCCGGTACATAGGCGATGGTTTCAGATGTGATAGTAGGGTGTGGGGTTGGAGCATCTGGTTCGTCTGGGGAAGAAGCAGCCTAGACTTTGCACCAGCGAACAACCGGAAGCGAGCGGGAGGCAACGAACGACATTTGGTGTCGCATTAGACAACCAGCTGAGTGGTTTACAGCATGGTGAACTCTCTTCTGTTGGGAAGGTGAGTGGTTGGCTGAAATCATCTCGAGTCTGCGGCTCTGCGGACCCAGGCGGCGCTCCTTCGCTCTGTACACGTCGCTGGGTGAGCGCATTCGCGTGCAGCCAGCAAATTACCCGGCCCACCTAGCAACGCAATCTCCCAAGTGTACTCATTGCCTTGTTGTCAAGGCCACGTCAAGCCAGTGAGTATGCCTGGTGTCATTATGACGATTGTTCAGAAGAAAGAAACAGCGCTCGCATCGCTCGGGTATGAGGTTTGTCTGTGAGTCCATCATGTGCTGCTTAAGCAGGGGAGGCGCAGTCGTGGCTTACAGGCCTGTCATTGGCTGTGGTATCAATAATGCTCATTGCGTTTTCCCCATCGGGCAAGAAGGCCAAATAGAAGCCGGAGATTGCCAATTTCGTCCTTCCTGAGGATCAAAACAGACTTGAAACGAAATTCGCAATTTTGGGTCTCCGTACGCCTCGTAACCTGGCCAGTGTAAACAATACTTCCAAGAATCGCAGTTTCCCTGAAAAAACTGACGGCCGGATAGAGCAGACTCCGTCATTCACTCCATTTCACATCGGACAGCGCGATCTTACCCCTGAGTGGAGTTTGGTAGCTGCGCGTCATAGAAGCCGTTGTTGACGATGTTATTGACACTGACAAGTAACGACGCGTTGGCGGGCGCCAGCGGCAGGTTGGACGCAGGTGGTAGGGCGCTTGGAAGCCAATGGGCTGGCACGGAGACGTTTGCAACTTGTGGAGCAGCACCGTGGCTGTGCAATGCCAAAGCTCGTATACTGTGTTCGCGCTTGCGCAGATGCAGAGTCCAAGAATAACACCAAACGATTTTGATAAAGTTATTGGGAAGAGTAGAGTTGCGGTCCGAAGCTGTAAGATGGCATGTTCGGGTCCCGTACCCAACGATGAGGTTATAGACTCTGTGGTACAAGTTCTTTTTCCTACACCGCTGGTCTCGATCCAAAAGAAACGAAATCTGATCTAAAGCTTGATGGCGCACACCAGCGTTGAGATGGACGTCACAAAGGCAGCCGTATGCACTATGCTCCACAGATCGGGTTGCTAGTACCGAGCGGCGCGATGGTTGGTGGCTCTCGGGCTTGTTTCGAGATTGCTATCGTCGTATCCTCGTAAACATGCTCAATCTCAGAAGACTTGGCAAGCAATGTTTTCCGTCTACAAACGGCAGGAAGTAGTGGATCAAGAAAAACGAAGTCGAGTTTTTCAATTGCGGGACGTAGCTCGGCGCATTGCGCCGATGAGAGATGGACCCTGGAGATCATTTGAGATGATGCAGACAGCGGGAGACATGGTACTCCATGTTCATGACGTCGGAGGATATCGCGAAATGAATCGGTGCGTTTGCTTGATTGGAAGGCGATAAATGATGAACAGGCCGAGCATGTCCATATCGCACACAAGGCTTAGAGCATGCGAAGCAGCACATTGAAATCTCCACATGCAGGCGCGCAAACGGAACATTTTCTGAAAAGCGCAAAGAGCTGCAGTGTCGATGCGCCATATGGGGCAGCAATGCGTCGGACATGCAGGGACATGTTGACTATGGTCGCCCTGACCCAAGTGTAATGGAGAATTAACAGTGTCTTATCTGAAGACGACCGAGACGAGGGAGTGGTACAGATGCCAGTCCGCAGACCCCGTTGCGACGGCTTGAGACACATGTGGTGTTGAACTTGATGCGCTCCCGGAGGCCAGATGCCGGTCCTATCAGTGATGGAACGATATTCGTGTGCACCGCATGGTTATAGTAGGGATAAGTGTGTCTAGCTGGTTATCTTCTCATATTCGGAGAGGGCTTTCAGTCGTCCTGCAGCAAGGGCCGGTCCCGATATATGGCTTGCCTCTTAACCAAATCAGTAGTGTAAAGAGAGAGTTTCCTGATTCTTTTGCGCTCTACCTTCCTCTTCAGCAAAAAAACAGGCGTCAGATGGTGGACAGGCCTTGCAGTTTGCCTCTGCCATCCCGCTTCTCCGCATTTCGTCTATCACATCCTATTTATGGTGGCGAGAACGAGCTTCCGTTGTGGTTCGAAAGGGGGATAGTGAGGGCGTCGTTGCCCCTGCATAGCTGGGATCAAACGGGTGTAGTTTAGTCAATTGGTCCGAATTGCATATCAAATTCACGCTTGGCCATACATGTGCCGGGATGCGCAGCCCCACCTCGAACGGGTGCTGTGAAACATTCAGTGCTCATCCTTCATGTCTCGAGGCCGAGGATGCGTGGACTTGTCGGGCAGTTCGGATAGCAAGAGCTTGACGCGTGGGCAAGCGGGCAGGTGGTGCCAGTAACGGCACATGCAGCGGAAGTAGCATGGCTGCGATTTGATTGCTAGCCGCGCTGTCCGATGGTTGGTTGCGGGAACGCATCTGTTAGTGGAGAGGGGTCGGCTGGCGGCATGTAGCCAAGACGCACTGGGAGAAAGATGGACAAGAAGAGCGAAGAAGATGCATATCGCGTGCAGCCGCCTCAATGGCGAGGGGTCTTGTAGCGCGTAAGGGTTGATGAGTTGAGCATCTCTGCACGACAAGGACAGCAGCTATGCAACAACAGAGCCACAAACACGGATACACGACGCAATTGCAGGCAGCTGCCACGCATGCTCTCGAGGAAATTGTTGTATCTTGCTGTTGCTAGGGCTGTGACGCTGTGCATGTAGTGCTGGATACTTGGAACTGAGTGGGAACCTGCAAACTACACGGGACTAAGCAGGCATCGGCCGACGTTAGTTGACTATCGGCAGGCATTGGCTAGCCGAGGGGCATTGCTACATCATGGTTGTGCAGAGAGCTGGAGTGGGTTTGCTCCATCTGGAGTCTCGTGATGTGAGGCTGTCGACACGTGCAACCTGGAAGGACAACGGCTCTGTTTGCAGCACTGACGACGTTTGAGGGCTACTGCGCAATGGTGCATCGCATGGTGCCATGTGTAAAAAGCAATTGCGCATGTACCGTCCTCGCTGGTACCTGGCAGCGCGTCCCGGCATCGTGTGGATCAGGCGTGAAATTACGAGGGAGACAGCGATTAGCATGGGCAAAGCCACGAACCGGGGATCCCTGCGCGGTGTGGTGGACCGTGCTAGCGTGGAGCCTGCCTGGGAAGGAACGACCGACAAAAGCGACAGTTGCCCTGGTGCTCGTCTCTCACCCACCTCCGCCAATTCACCGTCACCACCTTGCCGTCGCCCCCGTCGCGCACCTTCGAACCGCACTCTGGAGCCCACTGTCGTTACTCACATTAATTGAGGCGACTCTAGGCATCTGTCCGCTCATTTCCCCTGTCATTCCTTAATCTTGGGTGTACTGGCTTCACTCACTCCGACTACGCCCACGGCAGCCTACCGACTTGCCCATCCTGCGCTCAGCACTACCTCGACCTATATTGTACGCACACCAACAACCTTGCACAACCTCACCAATCGTCCTGCAATCTGCTTTTGCGCGTGCTGACTGTTATGTGCCATAGTAATCGCGTCAGCTCTTGTACCTCGACAGCGCTTGTTTCGTCTCACGCCCGCTGCGCCCACACGTGTAGCACCTCGACCACCACCGTCCAACCACACTCCGTCCTCCCAGTTCCGGCAAGCTGTCCCTGGGACGCACGCTGCCAGTCTAGCTCGCAGACCAAGCATTGTGCTACGCGTCCGTTGGCGGTGCCATCCCTAATCTCGTCAAGCCCCATCGTCGCAGATCGCTGCGTCCGCTAGGGCAGTTCATAAATTCAACATGGCCGGAATTGCCATGCCACGACACAGGGCAACACAGTCGCAGTCTGGTATCGGCTCACCGCTCTACCAGCGTCGACAACACTCCAATGCCGGTCCCATCGAGCTCATCCCCAACCCCGAATTCTCTTTCCCCATGCGAGGACCAGACACCGCCTCTTCAGAGCCAGCGTCGACGACATCGCGCCCAATGTCGCTGCAAGCCTATCCAGCAGGCCGCCGAGGCTCCATGCCGCACCACAGGCAGAAGTCGATCAATGCTTTGCCCGACTTCTCCTTCAATCCTGCCGGACCAGCCAAACCAGCCGCCGAATCGTCACCACCACAGTCACCAGCGACGCTACCTGTGCCTGTATCTCCCTCAAAGCCGACACATGGCCACAGGAGGGGTGGAAGCGAGTTCATTGGTGGTGATGTGCGACCCGGTGGTACTGCATTAATGAGCAGCAGTCCGACAAAGGGAGAGGACGCTCTTCCTGTACCAAGCTCGACACTACGCCCTGGCCCTCCAGCCGGTCGTCGGGGACACGCTCACCGTCGCTCAGGCGCCATCTCTTCTCACGACCTGACTTCGATCATGAACCCGCCTGTTCCAGCACGAACTGGCAGTGCGCCCAACACACCCTCAGAGGGCAACCAGTTCGCTTTCGGCCACAAGTTCAACAGATCTGTCTCACAACCATCACTACGCGAAAACAGCACAGAAGATGACTCGAGTGCGCGACCACCCTCAAGGGCTCGAGTTACGTTCTCCGATAGAATCGAGACCATCCGCCCCCTCTCAACCATCTCTTCTGAGACTGAAATATCTACTCTTAGAGGACACTCGGCCGCAAACAGCCTCTCCTCCATTGTTAGCGGTAACAGTCCAGCGCCCATTCGACCTGGACGTCCTACGCCACTTAACACTATTGGGGACGAGGACCGACCAAGCACAGCCGGGAAGGTGCTGGATCAGTTCATGGGCACCCGTCTCAACGGCGAAGTCCAGGAACGCAAGCGGCCTATGTCTGCCATCTCACCCATCTCGCCAACTGCGCCCATTCCGAAAGTGCAGGCCAAGCGACGGAGTCTCTTCCAAAAGGATCCTCGTCGCAGCGATAGTTCAGTTCCCACTCTTCCCACCAGCGCTTCCGATCCTGCACTCTCCAGATCCTTCGACACACCCCTTGCATCACCCGCCAAGGACGACCAGTCAGTGGAAATTGCCGAGAAGCCGAAAGCAGCTTCGCGCAAGAGTGGTCGCAAGCCTCGAAAGGTCAAATCATGGGCGAACTCGATTATCACTAGAAAGGGAAAGCACAGCAAAAAGTCCAAGGGAAGGTCTCCTACACCACCACCAAACGTGGTCATGGATTCTGAAGACTCGGATGAATCAGAGGAGATGGAATTTGAGCCCAACTTTGACGAGGACACCACCGTCACCATCGTCTCCCCGACCGAGAATCCAGTTTCGCTGCCGAAGATCGACACCAACTATGCCTCTTGGCAACCACGTGAATTGAAGCGTGTAGATTCTGACATTATGAGCCCAGTGATCGATCTTGATGCTGCACTTGGACCGTTTAACACCCCCAACGGTACCAGCCCTCGCAACCACCAGCGTGGTTTCTCCGCGCACAGACGGGCCATGCACAGTGCTGGTGGTGTTGCACCCTCGCACCGTAGGACCGAGAGCGCGCCTGAATTAGTGCCATTCGAACATCGACCATCAGCGATTGCGAACGCTTCCCCCATGGCCGACGTGTTCGAAGAGGAGGAACCAGAAGACGACGGTCTCACTCTTGCTGTTCCAGCAAAGAGTGCGATGACAGAGCCTGCTGCTGAAGACGCTGAGGAGCCGAAGATATCGGTCGTTGAAACAACAGATGCGAAGCAGGTAGGAACTGCTATCAACTGGAACTTCAACGATGGCCTTGGCATCAAGCGTACTGCGAAGCAAAACGAAGTTGATTCATCAGAGCCATTGTCTCCCCGAGCAGTTCCGCCTGTTGAGTCGAGCGATGACCCATCCCAGCAAACACAGACGTCAGAACCTGTCGAGGTTGTGGAAGATCACGAGGAGCCCCGAACATCATCACTCACACATTCTTCCGATTCTACCGTTACCGCTCAGCCGATTGAAGATTCGCCGAAGCATCATCAGCCTGTCATGAATTTGTCCCTTCCACTAGGCCAACAGAGTCTCATGACACCTGACACCGTCACTTCTTCGTTTTCATCACCAGATTGCCGATCCAGTCAGATCTCATTCGATACTGGCCGTGGAGGCACCGCGGCTTCGTCAGTGACGGATTACCCTGTGATGCCTTCTCCCCGCTTCGGCGAGCCTGGACCTGAAGTTCGCATCTCTACAGAGGTTCCGTCTCTGACTTCATCTAGGTCGACGATGACCAGTGCAATGCAGAACGCTTTTCCGCTTCCTAGTCCTCGTCGGTTTGGTGAACGCACATCGTCTTTGTCTTCTGATCCTAGTGAGATGGAATCACGTCGTCGCAAGCGCTCCAGTATTGCTAGCCTGTCAAGGCTAATGGGAACTTCGTCGTCTTCCTTCAGTGAACGCAGTAAGCTTTCTATCGAGCAGCGTCCACAATCAGAACACCGCGAGCCGACCAAGGACAAAAAGAAGAAGAACATTGGAAGCAGACTGAAGAAGTTCTTCCAGCACACCAGAGACTCTTCCCCATCGAAGACCTGAAGTGCCATCCTCATTGTCACGACTTGCACATATTTGGCTTTTGCCTCAATCCGACGACCTGCAGTTTGCTTTCCAGTAGCTGTATCTTGTTCATATGACATTATGGCTGTGCCTCAATGAGCACAAACACCACCTCTTTTCTCTCGCATGACCACGGAGTTTATAAGCGATGATTTTTTTTAATGGCGCATTACCAACCTGCGATGCATACGCGAACCGGACTTTTTCTTACTCTCATTGAATAGCATCTTTTCTATTATGAGTACTAGGAGGATGGGTATCTAGGAATCCTGCGATTTGCATCTTTGCATGGCAATGGGGCATCTTCTGGCATACTTTGACTGGTTTCTCCAGCGGCGGTACCGATACACCGACCGTGTTTTTGTTTCCTTTGATCAAATTTTATGGGAGGGTATACTCTTATTTATACCGCCCGCACGCTCTCTCAGAGACGTCGATACTGCTCTTTGGCAGACATGGCACGACAGGACTCTTTTCTATATTTTCTCAACAGTCGTTATCACGAAAACGGTACATACATCATAGTATGTCGAAGTAAGCTGAGATGGTGGGACATGTATTCTGAACATGGGTGAGAATCTCGTTGGGCAATCTGTACCCTGAGCTCTTGAAAGGATAGATAGTGGATTGAGCTGGATGAATGGCTGCGATCTTGAAAAACAATCAAACTCTGAATCACACAGGTACTCTTTTGCCATGTTCTTGTGCCTCTTGTGACTCGCTATTCTAACAATTCTACCGAGATAGCCTGTCACATTGTGACAGTGCAAATCTCGCTTCATCCATGGCTTGCTTGAGTCGTTGCAATATGTGTCTGACGCCAACATGCCTGTCTACTACTATCTGCTATCAGTCCCTACCCGACCTGAGGAGAGAGAACTGGCCACCAGCTCGTGGGGAGCCGTTATCGCGCACTGGCCTCCTTTTCACAATCAAATCGACACCATGTGACAGCGGGACGAGGAAGTGAGTAGGTTCATCTATCTGCCCCGAGCGAGCCGCCGCACTTGCATATCCCGCGCTTTCTTCGTCACCACCTGACCGATTAGAAGCGAACCGGCCGCTCTCACATTAGTCATGCAACTGCTATTGCATGGTCTCCATCATGCTGAAACTTCGGCGTGATCATCGTTGTATGAGAAGGATCGGAGTTCATCGTAATATCACCGGGTATTATGCAGGACCGTTTTTCATTTATTTGTTCGCCGTATACAGGGCATGTGCAGGACGAACGGCTGCACTGACGATCGGTTTAATTTGTATACACTGTCGCGCTGAGTCGAGGTGCAAGGCGCGGGTCGCGACGTATGCAGGTACGAGTCAAGCGAGGCGGGTTAAAGTTTCAGATTCTGGAGGCGGGATATGTAGTTCATGTAGAGGGCGTTTTACTTCTTGGAAGCGAAGGGGTGGATGAGGCTGTGCAAGACTGATGTTTGGCCGAGCGTTGCTAGGGGAGACGATGATTTGTGTGAGTTGCGATTGTATGATGCAGCATGGAGGTCACGAAAGGCGATATGGTGCATGGCTGTATCCAGCGAGGTACGGTGAGAAGAAAGTCATAAGCTAGAATGAACGTATGTCTCGAGAATCTCATGGAGGTTTTTTGTAGTTGTTGAATACTTACAGAACTGTGCGAATGAAAGATATATGTACCCTTGGACATATCTTACATGTCCATTGTAGGTCTCTTGGTAAACCATTTTTGAGCTCTTCCCGGGTGAGCAATAGGCTTCCGTACCTCATCCGTTACCAGTCATTGATCTTAAGTGTTAATTGGTTTTCTAACGATAGCGATACTAGCTCGTCTTAGAGATATAGTGCTGTAGTTGTTCGTTGTCCTCGAGTGATTCAAAATGTGACTAGTTCAGGTTTGTGTTAGCGTGCTTCCACAATGCGGGCAAGTTGGCACCACCGAGTGCTCGAGCTCCCCGCAACAGCCATACAATAGCTCCCACAGCTACCTCCGAACCCTCAACCCAATAACCACTATCGCGAATCAATATGGCAGACGAAGAGAAAGAAAAGGCAGAGAAGATCGCAGCGGCAAAGAAACGCGTGCGTATTTCCCCTACACGTCCTACAACCCTCCAAGACAGCTGCCATTGCTCAGATGCACTTGGATCTGATTCCTCTTCGCGAACAGAGTTGCAACATCACCGCTCCTACAACTAGAGAATGAGCTAACGCATGTACAATAGTATGAGCAATTGAAGAAGAAGACAAAGAAGGCGGGCGGTGGAAAGAAGAAGGAAGACAAGGCAGAGGCACCCGCTGAAGCAGAAGCCTCTACCGAAGCCTCCGCCGAAGCCTCCGCCGAAGCGACAACTACCGAAGATCAGCCCGAAAAAGTCGCGCCAGAACCCGTAGAAGCTACGAGCGCAGCGCCGCCGCCAGAGGACGATGACGAGCCGTCGGAGCTGGCTGTGCCCAAGGCAGCACACGGCCGCAAGCCCTCAGTCGCTGTCGAGTCGCGACAGCGATCTGAGTCCTTCTATCGCTCAGGAGCCGCTGGCGGGCCTTTGTCACCGGGAGGAGGGGTCACAAGCGAGGTCTACCGGGAACAAGCACAGAAGATTGAGGAGCTCGAGAAAGAGAATAAAAGACTCGCAAACGAAGTTGAACAAAACCAGGAAAAGTGGAAGAAGGGTGAAGAAGAACTGGAGGAGCTGCGAGAAAGCAGAGGAGACGTTGCGCTTGCAGTCGAGAAGGGCAAGGAGGCTGACAAACTGGTAGGCATCTGAGAAAAGGTTGACATGTGGGACAGGATACTGACATGCAGGGTAGAAAGCCGAAGTCGAATCCCTTAAGAGACAGCTCGCGCAGGCGCAAACGCAAAGCAACAAATCTATTCGTCGTGCATCGACTGCGTCACCCAGTCAGAGCGCATCTATTGATGATCTGAATGCACAAGTTGCTTCAAAGTCTGCAACTATCGAGTCATTGGAGCTGGAGATTTCGAACGTGAACAGGCAGCTCTCGGAACAGACCACTAAGAACAACGAGCTTCAGTCACAGATTTCCAGTCTGGAATCCGCAGTGCAAAAGGCAGAACAAGAAGCCAGCTCAACGAAGATGGAGCTAGAGGAACTTAAAGCAAGCTTGGACAAAGCCGGGGATCAGGCTGAGAAGGACGGCTCAGATCGCGACTCTGCACAGACACGCATTGCGCAACTAGAAGCTGAGTTGGGCACGGCGAACCGCAAAGCTTCAGATTCAGTCTCGCGCGCTGAGTTGTTGGAGAAGAAGATTGAAACGCTCACCCAACTGCATCGAGACAATGACACCCGAAATCAGACGCGCATACAAGAGCACAAGAAGATTGAGCGAGAAGCGACAGAACTACGGACCCGCATAACAGGTCTCAGCAACGAGAACGCACGTCTGCGAGAGGCAGAGCAGCGCCGCCGCAAGGCCGATCTCGGCTCTATCGAAGACTCAAGCGTACAAGAACTCCTGGACGAAGAGCGCGACCGCCTCCTTGCCAAGGTCCGCGAACTCGAGGAAGAAAACTTCGAACTTCGCCGAGGCGTATGGCGCGACCGTCGCCAACAGATGCAACCTTCTATCGACGACCAGACAGACGCCTCACATCCCTACACCAGCACCAACAGCTTCGACGACATCGACCTCTCTGGAGCGCCATCTCGCCAAGCCCTCCCCAACCGCACACATTCTTCCTTCCAAGATGTCATCCAATCTGGCATATCAGCCTTCACCGGCCAGAGTCCTGCACATCGACGAAGCGATGCTGCGAGTAAGCCGAAGCCTAGGCAAGAAAGCCTGGGCAGTCTCGATGAATTCGAAATCGATGAGGATGCATTTAGGCAAGCACAGGAAGAGGAGGCCAAGAAGAGACTCGAGAGGGTTAGGGAGGTTAAGAGGGGGCTCGTGCAATACAAGGGATGGAGACCGGATTTCGTGGATATTAGAGTGGGGATGGGTGGTGTTTTCGAGATATGAGTCTTGGCTTGTAGGTAGACATGAGATTACGGGGATTATGTATGATCAGTACGTCCGAGTAGTCGTGGACGAAATGCACATATGAACACAGCCGCCGTTTCGGAGGTGGCTTATTAACAAGTGGATGTATACACCTAGGGGCCTACAAACAAGCTAGCGTCGATAGCCTTTTGTTTCTAGCAGAATCACGTCGTACGGCTTTTGTGGTTTGCGATGCTCTCGTCTCATAGACGCTGCTTGTTCACATTTTGGCGTTCATTACTGCGAGGCAAGGGCGATGGAGACATGAGAGAAAAGCATGTCGTTTACGATTCACACGAGGCCCTCTAGCATGGACATACTGTCATTGCTCTTGGATAGCAGAAGTTCGGATCTTTTTCTCACATGGAGATTGTCCAAGTCATCTTCCGCGTACATGTTGCGATTGGATTAGCTTTGTACAAACTATTCTCCGCGCGCAAAGTCCATCGGTGCAACTTTTATATTGTTTGAGAAGAGAGAAACAGCACATATCTGGGTGTGCCATGGCTTTTAAAGACATTTCCCGTTCAGGGACCAGTTTTAGAGAAGATGTGGTTAAAATTCGTTCGAAGAGTGAAAAGGAAGCATACATCGAGAGCAGATTCTGTGCTCAACAGCCACAAAGCCCTCGTCATGTGCGCAGGTATCATCTTTTTGAGTAGAGAAAAGACATGAGGTATCTCGCAAGAAACATGCATGTCTGCCTCATGTTACTCTATATACATCTCTTCACTAGATGAGCGATCGGACCTGTTCCTCCGCCGCCATGGACAGGTATCGGTAATTTTTGGAAGTGGGGCAATATCACTTGGTGCTCTCTGGGATACACGAATAGGTGATCCGACTATCGTCGATTGATGCATGTCTTTCTGACAAAGAAAGGTATAGCTGAAATTTGCGCACTCTCATTCAGCTGTGTAAGACAGTGGTCGTCTCTTTCTAGTGATGGCACGAGACTTTGAGTAAGGTGTACAGCGAGTGTTTTTGTGCGAACGTAA